GAAACCACGGATCAACCTCTGGCAGCACCGCGCGAATGCGCTCGTATATGTCCATGGAAACGTGATGCGTGCCACGAAACTCTTCTGTCGCGAAGAGAGACAAGCTTCCTGCACTATCCCGAGATAAAAACCAGTCTTCATTTGTTTGCCTTTCAAAGCGAGGGCGGTGATCTCTGTTCATAGCCTTTCCCATTCTTGATCCTCCGAACTTCCCTCCGGATCGCAGACGCTCTCTGTGCTGCCGAGCGACCAGAGCGCCAGCGACAGCAGCAGCAGATAGAGAAAGCATGAAATATGCCGCGATGGCATCATCGGAATCGCTTCCAGAGTCCATAATAGGAATTGAAAGCGTGGTGTAATTGCCGAGTTGATAATTCCCAAACAGGAGCCTACATATACGGAGAGCGGGGAAGTGACGAGCAAAAGTTGCCGCCAATTGTGGAACAGACGCGTGCAGTAGCTTGCTTCTTTGCGCCAAATGTATTTCTACGACATCCTTGTAGCCTAATTGGGTGACCCTGAATATGATAGATGTATCGTGTTACAAGCGCGGTGGGGTTCATCTCTGAATCATCACCTCCCCCAAAACGCGGCTTGATTAAAAGATAGTAGATCTAATTACCGGAGGACAACTGTCTGCTTTTGCGATTTTGGGCAAGGCGCGGTGGGGTCACCCTAATGGGCGTCCTGTACTGTACCGTTGTGTGAAATCTGTGCCGAAGTGCAGGTGTGACTGTTATAAAATCGCACTCAGCCGGACGATCTAGTGTGTTGTGTGTAACCGATGGTTACACTACCCTTGGTACTGTACCCATGGTACTGCACCCTTAGAGCACCCCTACTGGTTTAGTTACATTTCGAGGTTAAATAGGGAGTGTACGCAAACAGAATTCCGCAACTTTTACGGTAAAATTCTGCAACTGGAATTACACTACAGTGTTAGTTGCAGAAATTCTGAAATGAAATGTGACAACATTTAACGAATGGTGAGTAGTTAGTGAAAACACATGAAGAACTTGGGAGGAATACAAGTGTAATACAAGTACACGGTACGCGGGAAATTTTGGAGCAGAACTGAAGTGAGGTGAAGTGAGGAATGATCATCAGCTCGAGGAACACCGTCCGAACCACACCACAAAAATGCCAGAGGTAGTACCAGATCTCCCCAATGCCGCAGCTGCTAGAATTGGCCGCCACTCCCGCTTCACCGCCGCACAAGACCTTGTAATCGCCAGAGAGGTAGCAGCGGTCCACGCGCACACTCCAAGCTATGGTGAAACTCGTAAGCAATTTGAGATGGCGGCCACTTGCGTTAGTGACAACCCCCTTTTCCAGGAGACGGTGACCTGGAAGACCGTGCAAGACCGTTATAAACGGTTACAGGAGCAGTACGATTCAAACGACACTGCAAATGCGCGTTTATCAGGGGTTGGCGGGGAAGAGATGGGGGAGCCGGCGGACCTATTGATGACCATGCGTGAAGCAAAAGACGACTACGTTGCGGAGAAGGCGGCTGTGCGCAATGCAGATCGTCAGCGCGATATGGACAAGGAGCGCATCGGGAATGACCTAACGGAGCGCGCAACACGGCGCGTATCGAGTGTTGAAGAGGCGGACGGGGAATTTGGAGATGGGAGACAAGAAGGGGGTGTGGTATAACTACCTTCGTCCCGACCACTCGGAAACGAGGGGGGTTAGAGGTAAGGGAGCGCGCGCCACTGGGTAACCCACGCGCGAACGCAAACTGTACGGAAGGACTCGAAAAGAGGGAAGGCTCACGCGGCCGGTGACGCGCAGCCGGTCGGTGGTGTTAGATCCGGACGGCCGGTCACGGGTTAGAAGCCTGAGACTAAAAGGGAAACCGGAACGGGATAGCAATTAGCCGTAAAGGGAAGGGAGGCGAGTCTGCCTCCCGTTTACTGGAACGGGGCAGGTGCCCCCGGTCTTAACCCCTAAGTGGGACGCCAGAACACCTGTCCCGCTACAGTAGCTGTTACTTACTGTATACCAGCTACTGTGCTAAATTGGCTAATTTGCGCCATTAACTACTAATTACTAGTTAGCCACCGTACGGATTTTACACGTGTGCCCGTGGCCACGATCCCTGCTAACGGTTGTGCCACGTGTTACCCGTGGCCACGCCCGCTGTTACCGGCTGTCCCACGTCGGACCCTTGGGGTACTACTGTGCACGGCGGCGGGCTCGTGTACGCCTGCTCGCTACAGTAGCACCCGCCCTCCCGCGCGGTTATCATCTCGCCGGGGGGTTGTGGTACGGAATTGTGCTACAGGGGGCGTACGAAAGAAGCGCCGCGTTAGTTTAGGACGAATTCAGGTGAGCGAGATGGATCTGTTTGGGCAACATCTGAAGGAGACCGAGCTGGCGCGAGTGGAACTGGAGAAGGAGAAGCTGGCTTTCGAGGTGCAGAGGGATGAGAAGGATAGGGAAGAGCGTGAGAAGGAACGTGCTGTGGAAATCATGAAGGAAGAGAAGGACAGGGAGGAGAGGGCGCGAGAGCGCGACTCTAGGCAGGAACTTGAGTTGGAAAATTTTAAGGCCATGCTAGAGATGTTTGCAAAGCACAAGTAAGGTTTAATTCGGACACAGAGCAGATTCCAACGCTCTGTGATGAACATACTCCTCAAGTGAGGGCGGAGCGCAGCGGAAGTACTTGGAAATTTGATTAGGGTAGATGCAGTTGCGGTAGTTGGACAGTAGCACAGCCGATGAGTACAAGAGGCTGATCGGTGCCTCCAAAAGCTTTAACTTACGCTTAAAATCTACCGTAACAAAGTGCATCTTAACCTCTTTAAACACCAACTCGACAGTGATGCGTACTGTAGACATCGACTTATTAAACGCTCTTTGTGCTGGCGTGATATTACTTCCCTGGAACGGCACCTCTAGGAACCAGCGTCGCGCGTAGCCAGAGTCACCGTAAATACAGTATTTCTTTCCATCAACATCGAATAGCAGGGGAAGGTCCATTTCAAGCCCGCTTCTTACATAGAGTGTCCAATCATGGCGCCGTCCTTCCATACGTCCATGGAGATGCTGGATTAGCCCGTCTGGAGTATTGAATGCCTGCTACTTGAGGGCATGCTTCCGTTTATGGACATTATAAACTACGCGTTGTTGCATTGCCCCAGACGGCCTCGCAATACCTAGCACAGTTCCATCGATAAACCCGACGCAGTTCTCCAGACCTCCACTCCTGGCGTGAACCACAGCACTGTAACGCTCAAGCCTTGCCTGTATGAACGCTGAATCTATTGGGTCTTCGAGAAGGCCACCATGGCTCTGACGAAGGTTCTCGAGCGCCTCCCAAAAAATTTCAGAGAGCTGCGAACCGTGTTTGCCGAAGAATAGCTCCAGATACATCCATCGCGTCGGTGTAGCGAGGCGGCGAAGCACGATGCATGTAGCAAGAAGTGCGTCACACTTGTAGCGCCCATTACAGCCACAACACGTACTAGATCCTGCTTTTTAAACCTGAAGTAGAGCAGGCAGTCCAGATCGGTAAGCACGTTGAAGTTGAAGCCGACGTCGGTGTTGGAAATCCTATTTTTGCGCTCCAATTGGCCATGCCAATTGTCTCTTCCATGGACATAACGACGGGCAAGGAGGGATAAAGAAACGTTGGAGGTAAAGAGGGACGGCGAGCGTCGGAATCGCCGAATGGATAGAGCACCTAGTACCACTCTCTGTTGTAGGGCAGATCGCCGAAGTGCTCCCGGAGCGAAGTCTTTCTGCGTGCTCATGGTACTGCTCGGCACAGTACGAGGGTGACGACTGCAGTACGAAGGTGTACAGTAATAATACCCTATTTCGCCTTTGCGTAAGTCGATTCATGTGCATTTCAGTAAATTATTTCACAAACAGAATTCTGTAATTTGTTTACAGTTTTCTTTGTGAATTCCTTCAGATTTTACCATTTGCGTAAACTCTGTAATATGAGAATTTTAGCGTTTGGAGATAACGATTCTAGGCGCAACACTACAGGTTAGAGGGCAAATTCAAACGTGTTGTGCAGTGATTGGATCTTTCGGCAGCCGTGACGGTCATCCAGTACGAGGGGTGGTAGTGGTGGTGCTGTACGGATATACTGTGGGGGACGTCTCCGGTTCCCATCCCCTCAAGCCCCACATGACACCATCATGCCCTGGAGGAAGGGCGGGGAGGAGAGGAGGAGGAAAGGAAGAAGGGAAGGCGTCAGGAAGAATGCAGGAGGGTGGCAGTAGCGGGTAAATTCAGCTTGGGATGGGAGTGTTGGGGGTGTTCCCTGTGCACAGAGAACATTGCTCGCGCCAAGTCAATAGAATTGGCGTGGGTTTTTGGTAATTTTTCCAAGTGGCGCAATTCTACTCGCATCTCTATTTGCGCAAATGAGTAAATCTGTCTCCATCCGGTCGGCTGCTTGGAGATAGATTTACTCAAAATGGTAAATTTTTTAGAGATACTCACCTCAGCCGGACGATCTAGTGTGTTGTGTGTAACAGAAGGGTACAGTACCCTTGGTACTGTACCCATGGTACTGCACCCTTAGGGTACAGTAATAAAAAGTGCAGGTATCGGCGCATACACGAGGATGCTATGAAGATATCCGTCGATATGAGATAGCATTGGCAACAATAGTCATTGAATAAAGCATACAGAGGAAGCAGTACAGAAAATCCTACACTACAGGTATCTTCAAAGCCTGTGCCGTTTTTGAAAATATCATGACAAGTGCAAGCCGAGGAGTCTCCTTACATTTTCCCTTTCCCCTTTTTATTATCGTTCAAGGTGCTGCTGTCTTTAGATGTGTCGTTAGCAAGAGGTGCGGTTAAATATTGACGAAGATGCTGCTGTCTTTGGATGTGTTGTTAGCAAGAGATGCGGTTAAATATTAAGTATTAAATATTGATTGAAGACTCCGACGAGAGTGAAGATGTGCGCACCTCTTAGAACGGCATGAAAGCGGATGAACCGGATCGCTCTCCAAATAAACACTCAGATAAATGATCTTGGCACATTGTTGCTTGTACGTTCGTCGCAAAATCTGTGAGATTCCTTTTCGCCCCCTCCTGCGCAACCCCCCTGACCAATCCCCCTCCGCCAGCAGTGCTAACTGTAAATACCCTCTCATGACCTTCCGCCCAGATCATAACCACCCGCCTCCACAGAGCATCTGCATCCACGCCATCACCGCCCTCCCCCCTCCCCCCTCGACGATGCCGAAGCGCAACCTCTACATCTTAGACCTTCACGCCGGCCGCAAGTACGTCGGCGTCACTACCGACGTTAATCTCCGTTACGCCCTTCACGCTGCGGGATGCGCGGGCGAGTGGACGCGCAGGTATCCCCCGCTTTGCGTCAGACATGTCAGTCCAGTCGACGAGGACCAGGAGAAGAGCTTGGAGAGGTTGGTCACCGTGCAGCTCATCTACAAGCACGGAATAAATCGCGTAAGGGGATCGGAAGTCAAGAAGGGGGGATGTTATCGCCCAGGTGACGCCCAGGACGTCGTCGCTTTGGTCAGAAAGGCCCTTGGAGTTGGAGAGGATGCTGCTGCGAAGAGGGTAGCGCTCTTGTTTCGGAGGGAGAAGGACCCAGAAGTGGTAGAAGAGGGCACCGGGGACGCTGATGATGATATCAACCTTTTGACGGATCAAGCAGCGATCTTGAGCTTACAAGATGCCAGTGGAGGGGAACAAACGAAAGGGGGGATTGATCCCAAGGGAAAGTGGGACGCTTTTGATCGCCAAGGACGCCAGCTGTTGGATACAAACATTGCGCCCGGCCTCAGTCGCTACGCTTGCTGTGGCCAGTCGCGTACATGTCATCCGAAAAGTCCATTTCGTTGTAGGAGAGTCGCCTCTTACCAAAGAAGTGAAGACGCTTATGCTAATCACAAGATCGCTTGCAATCAACAAGAATCTCCGTATGCGCAACACGAAACGCTTCGCAACGGCCATGAAAGAGAAAAACGGAGTCCAGCCCCATCACATGACAACTTGTATCGCTCCAATCGAGCGAGCTCATCGAGAGAACACGGACCTACCACTTCGCTCGAGTTCCACCGTATGGACCGCAACGGTAGCTCGTCCTTGTCTAGAATCCAACGACACGACCTATCCAGTTATGACTATGGCTACCCTAGCTCGTCCAAGCATAGCCCGCCCAGTGACTGGATGGATGCCAATGACAGCAGTGATACAATAAGCACCGGTGGAGGTACCCAGGATGGCGAGTGTGGCGAGCCCGACTTTCTTGAGGACGACCATTTTTCACACTTTGGAGAGTTTGCAGATCAGGGCAATTTGTCGGAAGACGTAATCTACTCGTCTGATGACGAGAACTTTCACCAGGAGAAGGTCAAATCTCCTCCGAGTGCATCTTCAGAGGACGGTTTTTTTGAACACTCCGGTTATGGCGAGCGGTATTGTGCTGGTTATGATGTGCCGGGTGATAGCGCCTGTGTGGAAATTGGGGAGTCTATGGGCAACAATGACTTCCCTTTCAACAATTCTGCCCCGGACGGCGACATCACGTCGATTAAGGAGGAGGATGAGTTGTATCTAGTGGATCAATTCCACAACGACGGGCGGCACACGGTGCGACGCTTGTACGAGGCACGAACCGGGATTCGCGAGCAAGAGGAAAAGTCTGAAAAGATCCAGAATGGCAAAGATAACCCCAACAGCGCCAGTGAGAATAAGCACTCCTACTCTCAGGAGAATGGCTTTAGTTACGTAACTGCCGGGGGGAGCAGAGATCAAAATAACGGCGCAGGGTCCAACCTGGATGATATCGATGACCAGGTAACCAATGCGAGCCACCCCAAAGAATCACCACAAGGCAAACATGAAGGTGACTACGAGCTGTTTTCCGACAATGAGCACTATTCCGAGGACGAGCGTTACTCTCTGGATGGCAGCTACTAGTGCAATAATATGTTCATACTCGGTGCGCGGTATCAACTCAATCGTCTTCTAGATGGAAAGCGACTGTCCAAGTTGCGAAATCCGTGCATTATCTTGAAGCAAATTGTCCTCATTCCTTCGCAAAAAAGTTGGTTTGTGTTGGACCTCCTTTGACATAGGAGATATTTCCACTTGAGGAATTTTGTTTCTGGTCCATCAGATGCAGAGAGGCTCCAATAACGTCTGCCCTAAACTTAGCTGAGTGAATTTTGAAAGAGCGATCATGCCAATCTATGAAAGAGAAGCCCATCGCTCTGTGAGGGCTCCGTGTTCGGTCGGCCACCAGGTGCAGGTCTACTACGGTTCCGGTTCGGCAAAAGTATCTTAATGATACACAGGGACCTGTCCCAGACTAGTCTACAGTAGTGCTTCTCGGTGTCGGTGTAAGATTTACACGTGCGAAGTTGCATCCTTCGTCACCAATTCAAAAGTGCATGATGTGCTTGTACTACACAACCGATATGCATACGCAAATGGTCGTCGAAATAATTGGAGAGTTAAATGGCTGCTGCAATAAAGATAACTGTAAACGAACAGCGATATGTTTTGGAGCATTTACCTGTCCGAGATCTGTGGTGCAGTGCTTTGCTTATACAGCCCATCCTATCGATATCAAACAGGCAGTACGGAATCTACATTTCACAATTTTCTTCCTCAGAGCGGACGGCAACAGTTGCCTCTACAGTACCCTGAGGCAGTGGCGAGACTGACTGAGAGACACCAACCTTTTCCCTAATACGTAGATGAAAAGCGATATATCAGGAGCATGATAAAAATGTATCTATGTATGCCGTTTCTTGACCATTTTCGCTGCATGTTGGCCTGAAACCTCAATATAACCAAATAAGAACCTCAAGACAGCCAAATAGCCCTACCTCCGAGCGGAAGATCTGGCCCTGCCTCATAAAAAAACTTGAGAAAGGCGCTGGATAATCAAACAACATAACACTTTTAAGTAGCCACAGTTGGAAACTTCGTTAAAATTTCGTCTTGAACGCTTCTAGCGAAGGGAAAAAACGGGGATACGCCAAAGTGGCCTCATACGAGGCCATTGCTCATCTTCATTGTATTGATGTGGAGAGCAAACACCCAGCTACTTTGATCGCTTTGCATTGGCATGAGAGGTTGGCACGACCTGGAAACCAAGTCGTGTAATAAAAATCAGGGCATGAATTAAAATATCGGCAACTGACTTGACATGGAAATGCCATCACACAATTGCTGGCTACAGAAGATATAAAAAAAGGCTCGGCGAAATTCCACGGAAAGAAGCCGCATCTTTACGAGAGAAAGGCGATGGAGAAGAATGGAATTTCCCGGTATAGCCACGGAAAGAAAGCGTGTACCGCAGCGATCACCTGAAGTGCATGAACAAACCTACAGGTATTTACGTGACTAACTGGCCAGTGAGTAGTACTCGCAGCCAGCGACCTGGATCGAGGGGACACAGCGTTGCTGAAGTTAACCTGATGTATGCTTTCTAGCATAGTTGTTTTTTTTTGGCCTCACTTCCTTGGTGCGCAAGGTGCAACAACCACTACTTGTCGCCACAGGCGTTCTACTCTCTTCCTCTGGCTGAAATAATTCTTGATGAGGGCGATGAGTGTCGCTCGTAAATCCACCATGATTCTTAATCCTCAGGCCTTACCTTGAAATTATGCTATCTGCGTAATATGCTCTCACGGGGAGGTCGATACCGTCTCCTTACTGTAAATAATTGTACTCGTACTCTGTTTCATCCGCTCTGCGCACTGTATCGCGTTCTACAACATAGCAGTTCTCCAAAGCAGGACTTCGGCCAAATGAGCATTTCTTTAGAGTGATCTGTTGTGGGGTAGTGATATCGCCACTTTCCGAAGCCCCAAAGAAGGATGTCCTGAGACAGCTTGCTCCTCGTATTGCTCAACACGAGACTTTCCTTCAATGTCCATTGTTCTGACCAGACCTCGACTTCTAAATGCAGAAGCCATCATTGCGCAGTATTCACGAAAAATAAACATAAGCAAACCATTCGTTACATTTTACTTTATTCTTTCCTAGTTAACAATAAATACTCTGTTCGGTGCTCCAGCTTTTCACCAGCCGCTCTCCCGCGCTGTACAATCCCATACACTGGGCACTGGATCTTAGTGAGCTTCGCGCTGACTCTTGCGAGATATTACGTGCGGGTTTCACTCCTTACCTGCCTCATCTCCGGAGGTCCTGCGAGGTCACATCTTACATCCCTGCCCCGGTCGATTGTTCTTCACGCTCCGAAACATGAACGAAGTACGGTCCCAAGAACACAACCATGAACACCAGCCCGGCGTGCAGTGCAACCGCTCCGGCGGGCGGCTCTGGCAACAGCCCAAACTGCACAATCGTGTAGTTCAGGAATGCGAACAAGTACACAAACCCGGCCGCCGCGTAGTACAGCTTCGGGACCTGCATCCTCATCATGGCCACCATGATGCCCATGATTGCAAACGACATCATCAGCACCCCCGTCACAATCGTCATTCCCGGCAGAAGGCCCACGTTGGGAGCCGACTCGAACGGAACTTCAAGCCTGCCTGACCCAACGTTCGTGGTGATCAAGATTCCAGTGATCAGAGTCCACAGACCAGCAAGCCCGAGGTTCGCGTTCCAGAAAACAGCGCGCATCCGGGCTCCCGACTTCTGTTTCAAAAAGTCCCGTCCAGTCGCAGCACACACAAGACGAGCCATGAACACAAACTGCCCACCCTGCAGGGCGAGGCAGAATTGGAACGACGTGAGCACGCCAAGCGCGATCAGGAAGCGGCTCTGCCCGAGGCTCAGCCCTACAAGACTCGGGGCATCCAAATTAGAAGCGTTGAATGACGGAATCACAAATACAAAGATCGCAAACACATAGTATCCCAAGACTGTCTGCACGACCATGGCGATCTTGGTGACTTTTGCGTTATGCGCTCGCAGGATGAACGCAGCAACCCCCAGGTACAGACCCAACAAACCGAACGCCACCTCAAACAGTCCGCCCAAGAACGGGAAAATGGCTGCTGGCCGTCCCACAGAAAGACCGCCAGAGGGGTTGGTGTTAATCAGACGAATGGCACCCTCATTGATGACGAGAACACTCCAGATGCTGAGCAGTGCAGCCGCTTCGAAAAAGCCACGATTAAAAGTAGACGGCGGCTTGGCGAGATCCTGGCTCTCGAAAGAACCCTTGCCGGACTCAATGTCCATAGGTGCTGAAGTAGAGTTCATTGGATGCGTGTGTGAAAGGAGAAGAAGAAGACCAGATGGCGCAAGTATGGATGGGAGATGTCGGGCCGATGGTTCGCTGGTTGAGGTGATGGGGACATGGCAAGGGGGGCGGGGGGCGGGGCCTTATATGTGAAGTCGGCAGTAGATCTAGGGCCGCCGGCACCTGTCAAGAAACAAAGTAAGACAGAATGATACAGTAGCAGGAAAGCGGCCGTGGTGATTTGGGAGAAACTAGGACGGCCGTGGATGGGATCCCCAGAAGATACAAGCGGGATACTGTACCGCATGAAGAAACGCCGTGAAGTGTGAGATCGAGTTTACATTGCTGCACACACAGAGAACGTCATGAGAAAAGTGAGAAGAAAACGGTGCAGCAGTCACTGGCAGAAGGTGGGGCAGCGTGTTTGAATGGCACAGTGAATAGTTGTCGTGCGGAGGAGGATTGATGTGGAGTGAGAGAAGGAATGCAGAAACAGGGTCAAGTCCAATGACGATTGTGACTCTGACTGCAGGCCAACGATGGGATGCAGTGATTGGTCGGGCAGAAGCGCCGTGGAGAAACGGCGGAACTACCTCTCCGTAGAAATGGGTTTTGAGGTTGTTTTTGAAGGGCCAGAAGAGATTTACTGGACCCGGACGTGCGCCGTGTTGGGAGAAATTCTGAGCGTCTCGTCTAATAAGGCAAGAAGCCCGCTCCCGGAGGGCTCCGGGAGCTGCGAGCCGAGCACACCGCTGCTGTTCCCGGGCGATGCCGACGTCATCCTTCCTAAACAGCCCCCTTTCCAACTGTTTCTGGCATCCAGCAGTGGTTCACACTTGGAAGAAATCGCTGCTTCTGTGTACGCAACACTGCTTTTAGAGCGGTATTCTTCCTCAGCGGAAAAGGTGCCGCAGTATCCGTCATTACAGTATTGTCCCTGCCTTTCCTACTGTGGTGGCTGCGTTATTATGCCTCTAGCCATGGTTCTTCGCTACCCCCACTTCCAAATTGTAAAGCAAACTATGCCAGCAAATAGTCTGCATTACACAAAAAGCACTGCAAATCCAGGTGCCACCAGTTCCTGGATTTCCCACTTCGCGCACCAGTGTGCTACGGCATACAGGATCAACTCCAAAACATCCCGGCGTCGCTACAATGCCTCACTCTAGGACTTTCTTCTTCATCCATCGCCCTTATCTTAGACAGGTTTTTCTCAAAACTCCGCCAGCGGCTAAACATGGTAAACAATAGCGACCTGAGATCAGTGATGTCCTTTAGCAATCTGGAGAGTTTGAATAACTTCGCCTTGACTTGACTGTCCCAAGGCCGTCGACAGTTCATTTAGCTATGATGGCAACGAAACCATCATAGACTTCAAAAGTTTTATCATCATTTATACAGCTTGTCATCCTTTCAACTTGTCAAGCATCGTCGGCTGATACTGTCCATAGTTGGAAACCCGATGAACGAAAACCTGACTGGATGCCTCAACATTTCAATCCTACATTTGACTCTTTTGCGCCAAAATGGAAAGATTTAAAAACTATTAAATGGCCCAACTGCTCCCACCCATGCTCCATCACCCCAGACATACTTCGACGATAGGACCATGATACAAATAGCTCTGCACCTGCGGCATTTTCAATTGAGTCTGGTCAACTAGAAATGATCATTCGACTGTGTGCGGTTGACAGCAATCAGAAATATGACAGTCAGTGGAAGAGAAGTACATAACTCACTAGTTGAATTCAAGAAGAGTACCACGTACCACTCTTGTTCAATTTAGCAACTGTGGTACTGTGCTCTATTGGATCGCACCTTAACCTTCGTTGAGGTCCAGTGCTGCATACAGAAGAAGACGCTGCACCTCGGATATCCTATAGTGTCCTGAGCAGATACAATACTCTACTCTATTGTAGCGACGCCGGGATATTTTGGAGTTGATCCTGTATGCCGTAGCACACTGGTGCGCGAAGTGGGAAATCCAGGAACTGGTGGCACCTGGATTTGCAGTGCTTTTTGTGTAATGCAGACTATTTGCTGGCATAGTTTGCTTTACAATTTGGAAGTGGGGGTAGCGAAGAACCATGGCTAGAGGCATAATAACGCAGCCACCACAGTAGGAAAGGCAGGGACAATACTGTAATGACGGATACTGCGGCACCTTTTCCGCTGAGGAAGAATACCGCTCTAAAAGCAGTGTTGCGTACACAGAAGCAGCGATTTCTTCCAAGTGTGAACCACTGCTGGATGCCAGAAACAGTTGGAAAGGGGGCTGTTTAGGAAGGATGACGTCGGCATCGCCCGGGAACAGCAGCGGTGTGCTCGGCTCGCAGCTCCCGGAGCCCTCCGGGAGCGGGCTTCTTGCCTTATTAGACGAGACGCTCAGAATTTCTCCCAACACGGCGCACGTCCGGGTCCAGTAAATCTCTTCTGGCCCTTCAAAAACAACCTCAAAACCCATTTCTACGGAGAGGTAGTTCCGCCGTTTCTCCACGGCGCTTCTGCCCGACCAATCACTGCATCCCATCGTTGGCCTGCAGTCAGAGTCACAATCGTCATTGGACTTGACCCTGTTTCTGCATTCCTTCTCTCACTCCACATCAATCCTCCTCCGCACGACAACTATTCACTGTGCCATTCAAACACGCTGCCCCACCTTCTGCCAGTGACTGCTGCACCGTTTTCTTCTCACTTTTCTCATGACGTTCTCTGTGTGTGCAGCAATGTAAACTCGATCTCACACTTCACGGCGTTTCTTCATGCGGTACAGTATCCCGCTTGTATCTTCTGGGGATCCCATCCACGGCCGTCCTAGTTTCTCCCAAATCACCACGGCCGCTTTCCTGCTACTGTATCATTCTGTCTTACTTTGTTTCTTGACAGGTGCCGGCGGCCCTAGATCTACTGCCGACTTCACATATAAGGCCCCGCCCCCCGCCCCCCTTGCCATGTCCCCATCACCTCAACCAGCGAACCATCGGCCCGACATCTCCCATCCATACTTGCGCCATCTGGTCTTCTTCTTCTCCTTTCACACACGCATCCAATGAACTCTACTTCAGCACCTATGGACATTGAGTCCGGCAAGGGTTCTTTCGAGAGCCAGGATCTCGCCAAGCCGCCGTCTACTTTTAATCGTGGCTTTTTCGAAGCGGCTGCACTGCTCAGCATCTGGAGTGTTCTCGTCATCAATGAGGGTGCCATTCGTCTGATTAACACCAACCCCTCTGGCGGTCTTTCTGTGGGACGGCCAGCAGCCATTTTCCCGTTCTTGGGCGGACTGTTTGAGGTGGCGTTCGGTTTGTTGGGTCTGTACCTGGGGGTTGCTGCGTTCATCCTGCGAGCGCATAACGCAAAAGTCACCAAGATCGCCATGGTCGTGCAGACAGTCTTGGGATACTATGTGTTTGCGATCTTTGTATTTGTGATTCCGTCATTCAACGCTTCTAATTTGGATGCCCCGAGTCTTGTAGGGCTGAGCCTCGGGCAGAGCCGCTTCCTGATCGCGCTTGGCGTGCTCACGTCGTTCCAATTCTGCCTCGCCCTGCAGGGTGGGCAGTTTGTGTTCATGGCTCGTCTTGTGTGTGCTGCGACTGGACGGGACTTTTTGAAACAGAAGTCGGGAGCCCGGATGCGCGCTGTTTTCTGGAACGCGAACCTCGGGCTTGCTGGTCTGTGGACTCTGATCACTGGAATCTTGATCACCACGAACGTTGGGTCAGGCAGGCTTGAAGTTCCGTTCGAGTCGGCTCCCAACGTGGGCCTTCTGCCGGGAATGACGATTGTGACGGGGGTGCTGATGATGTCGTTTGCAATCATGGGCATCATGGTGGCCATGATGAGGATGCAGGTCCCGAAGCTGTACTACGCGGCGGCCGGGTTTGTGTACTTGTTCGCATTCCTGAACTACACGATTGTGCAGTTTGGGCTGTTGCCAGAGCCGCCCGCCGGAGCGGTTGCACTGCACGCCGGGCTGGTGTTCATGGTTGTGTTCTTGGGACCGTACTTCGTTCATGTTTCGGAGCGTGAAGAACAATCGACCGGGGCAGGGATGTAAGATGTGACCTCGCAGGACCTCCGGAGATGAGGCAGGTAAGGAGTGAAACCCGCACGTGATATCTCGCAAGAGTCAGCGCGAAGCTCACTAAGATCCAGTGCTCAGTGTATGGGATTGTACAGCGCGGGAGAGCGGCTGGTGAAAAGCTGGAGCACCGAACAGAGTATTTATTGTTAACTAGGAAAGAATAAAGTAAAATGTAACGAATGATCTGTCCATGCAAACTTTTGGAACCGTAGCTTAGAATCTTCCGCTTGTGGTATCCGATCCGAACACGATCCAGCAGCGCCGAAGCGTGTCTAATAGATTCAGGTCTTCCCAGCACTGAATTCTCCGTTTTTAAGATATCTCTTCGTTTCCATCTTAGGCTGCGACAACGCATGAACTGCTTTTCCCGCTTGATACGTTGGGATAGGTATTGTTTGCTGCAACCACGTTAAGACAGATTACTGTCGATGTTACCGAGTAGGCATTTACTTTCTATACTTAACCCGACCTAAGCGGGACATAGTTTGGGAAGGACATTGTTTTCAGACGAGTTCGGCCTGCAATATAGAAACATATGCTGTGCCGGTCTGCCAAAACGGGTTGGTGTACTAGTCGTACTCAATGTCTACACGGCAGTGCTCTCGAAGGAACAGCACACAGGATAGTTTTTGGATGCATGACATTCTAGTGTGATGGGTACTGAACATATTGTGTGCCCTTACTACTGGCAACGTGCTGAAGGTTTTGCAGAATTCGCGGGAAGACGTGAAGAGAGTAATAGATCCTTTACGCAGACAAGATATAGAAGTTGAGAGAGCCCGACGCCGCACGCCACCACGCACCAAGACAAGATCACACAGCAATTATTCGCTTCCCTCCTTCCTTAGCCCTGCAACGCCTGACAGCTTTCATCATCAGTACGATATACTCAAGTGAACATCGAGTCGACTTGGGAAACTTTTAAGCGATTGCAATTCCATCGTCTGTCAATATGGGGTAATAGAGAAAACGTAAGGCTGGGCAATGATGTTCCATGTATCAGAGCATACTTCTAGTCTTTACATCACAATGCATCGTGCCCATCCACAACCAAAGTTCTCAGTAAATCGCAGAGAAGCGCAGTTTCCTCTTTAAAATCCCCTCCTTAGTGTTGACGTGCTCATAGGGAGAAAGGTAACTCGTGAGCCTCACTCAAAAGCTGAATCACGAGAGCATGCGAACAAACTCCTCATAGTCTAGGGAAAAAAATCACAGTGAAAAATCATGGTCGCAAAAAGAGCCTATGTCAGCCGGGTTCCTCTTTCTCGTGGTGATGTGAATCAACAGGGTCTATCAATTTTCGAAAGATGGAGTGACGTACCGATTTCCCCGTCGCCGTTTGTGTCAGCTTCGCGGATCATTTGTTGAATCTGTGAAATGGTTACGTACCGACGAACAAGACACAAAACGGGAAAAATGAAGTGGATTAGAATCAGACAGCGCACGGTGCAGGGTCAAAATGGCGCGACGCGAAGTGCAAGCCTACCTCCTCTTCTGTCAAGTCCTCGCCCAGTGACTTCATGATCTGCCGAAGTTCATCACCGGAAATTTTTCCCGAGCCATCCTTGTCGAAAACATTAAAAGCCTCTCGAATTTCGGCATCTTTATCCGTGTTGTTCATCTTGCGAGCCATGAGGGTTACGAACTCTGCAAAGTCGATAAGGCCGTTTCCGTCGGCATCGACTTCTGATATCATTTGTTGAAGTTCGCCCTCCGTGGGGTTTTGCCCCATGTTGCGCATTACTGTGCCCAGTTCCACGACAGAAATACTTCCATCACTGTCGGTGTGATCGTCATGAGATGTTTATCGCAAGTGATCAATCATGAACGGGCAATGAGGATTGATGAACGCATTGATGTTTGAGAATACCAGTGGCGAATTTTGGCATCCCCAGTAGCAAGGAACGCGCACATGAGAAGAGATTGAACAAATGAAAATGTGCAATATACGGCAGGGCAACAAGTCAGATACAGGTTTGGAGACAGTCCTTGGGCGACTAAAGTCAAATTGTCAAAATGGCGGTTTCGATAGCCCATCTACGACCGGAGGTCAAGAATGAAGCGCACGGATGGAGAGGGATTTGCTCGGTTGAAGGTGGGATGAGTAGCACGCATGAGGAAGGGCAAGCGTAGCGGGCAGGCGTAAAAGGGATACATACCCGTCCTTGTCGAAAAGCGAAAAGGCTTCTCTAAATTCCTTGATGGTCTCCTCGGTAAGGTCGACGGAACCCCGCGGCATGTTTGGATAAGATAAGCAACGTGTGAAGCGTTAAGGTAGGCAAAAAAGGGTGTGAAAGTGAAGGCGGGGCAACGCCGCGGAGTTGGGGAGGGAGAGAAGGGTGGACGGTCGAGAAAGGCAGAATATCAGTAGGGAGGGGGAGCGGGATAAGTACAGAAATCGGGACGAATGGGGAAAAAGGAGGGGGGTGTGAGGGGGGCGGTTGCACGACGTCAGGGCGGGTTGACAATGCGGCGAATTTCGCTGCTGGAATGGAACATAAATTTTTCTGTGCCTCTGATGGCCAACGAGGCGCAATCGGCATATAACCTTCGAGCCATACCCAAACACCCTTATGGCCAAACGATTGTTGCCCGCCCTGCACTTTGCGCCTTCTTTACCAACGACTTGTGCTTCATAGATTCTCTCACCATCCTGTGCACGTATCCCCCGCTCCAGCATTGCATGTATCCGTTGTACCCTTGGTACTGTATGCACGTGCAGTACATGTACCCAAGGGCACAGTATTTCACCGAGTTCTCGTCTACTAAGTTATGGAAACCCGCCTTCCTTTCGTGGCCCATCGTTTTAGCAAGACTTGTTGGCCGCGGCCTTACCGCCTTACCCCATCTGATTTGCAACGACTAATGCCTCATGCTCAACGCACGTGATGTTGCATTGCTTTGCTTCCGACACTTGTACAGTATTATCGACTACTGTACAATAGTGTCACAGTGCTGACGTTTACGACCGTATCAGCGTATCGTGTCTGCGCTACTCTCACCTCGCGTACGACTCCCAGCTAACCCGCTCTCCAAACCTGACCAACGTCCTCGGGCTGAATTGGTCCCGCTCAAACTTGAGCTCCAGCTCCACGCCAGGGCAATTAGTGGCCACCGCCTCCAGCCCTGTATCATTAACATCGTCGCAATTCCAAATCTTCAGATGCTTCAAGCGGGCCCCCATAGCGACTGCCAACGCCTCCAAATGCTGTCCCGTAAGGCCCTTGATCCACTCAAGATGGACGTCCTCCAAGAAGGCGCACCTGGCCAACGCGAGCAGGCCCTTCCCATCGCCGTCGACCTCGCCATCGAATAGGGACAGCTTGCGCAGTCTGGGTATGTCCGGCACAAACGCGAGGTCGGACGTGGGTAGATAGTTGAGCCTGAGCTCGACGGCACGGAGGTCTGGCTGGCAGCGCTGCAACGCTTTGACGAGGCGGCGTGCCGCGGGCGGCTGGATGCGGGCGCGGTACAGCAGCTTGGCCGTGTGCAGGCTGCGGAAGGCCGGGAACATGTCCGGGTGCAGGCCGTCCATGAGCAGCTCGAGCGATGTGAGCGGGGCTGCGCGGCGCGCAAAGGCGAGCAGCAGCGGCATGCACGGGGTGGAGAGCGTCTGCACGGAGGCGGCGAGCTCGGCGGCGAAGAGCTCCGCGAACGGGTCGCGGGCAGACGCGTCGGAAAGGCGGAGGGCCACAAAGGTGAGAGAGGTGATCGGAGGGGAGGGGCGGGAGGTCAGGAAGTGGCGCCAGGCGGGGAAGAAGGTCGGGTTGAGGGAGTTGGGGTACAGGACGAGGGTGGTGAGCGAGGTGAAGCGCGGGAGCATGTGCAGGATGAAGGGGGGGTGGGCGTCGGGGGGGAGCGTGGTGAGGTTGAGCGAGGTGACGGAGGTGTCGAAGGCGTCGCGGAAGACGGTGCCGAGTAGGCGCAGGGGCGAGTGGGCGCGGAGGAAGGGCAGGGGCGACTCCTTCTGCGTGGGCGAGGCGAGGAAGGGCAGGCAGAGGTGCGACAGGACTTGCTTGAGGATGACCTGGGGGAGGTCTTGGAGACGAATAGTGGAGGCAGTAGTTGTTGGGTCGATGTCCATCATGTCGCGGCGGGCGGGGGAAGCGGGTGGATGTTGCTGGCTGCGACGGCGCTTCTGGGGAGGGCCATCAGCTGCCGGTCGGGGGTGGAATGGGCGGGGACCCATGGGGGGGGGGGGGGGGGGG